AATAATCAAGAATTTATAAAGGATTTATTTGAGGCATTTATACTAAAAAGAAAAAAAGGAATTTGCCTAAATGCGCCAGTGAATTGTTACCTGTGAGTTTTCTAGAGTTACAAGGAGATTATTTAGCCTCTTAGTCTCTTCCAGAGTGAATTTTCCTGTGGACTTTGAAGTCACTTTGGACATGATAGCAAATAGCTCAGGTGCAATGTAGTCCAGGAAACCAGCATGGAAACAAAATAAAGCAACAAACCGGAACAAACTGTGTTGCAAATGCTGGTTGCCGCTGCTTTATGCGACTTAGTGGCAGCTATGAAGGCCAGTTGCGGCTATGAAGACCAGTCAGGAAGTGGCCACAGGGTGCCGGCAATGCAAGGCACACTGCAGGATAGGATGCAACCAGATATAGGATGTGCAGCAGAGGCTGGAAAACAGAGTAGTTGCAATTGAAAATTGGAGCAGAAAAAATAGAGCAGGAAAGGCCTGAAACAGAGCAGAACTGCATGCAAAAACAGAGTGCTAAAAAAAGAGCAAAACTGCATGAAAATATAGCAGAACAAGTGCCAAAAAGGAGCAGAGTTGTACCTGGAAACAGACCAGATTAAAACGCTGAACAGAGTAGATCTGTGCAAAAACAAAGCAGAATATAGGACGGAAAACAAAGCAAAGCCGCGATGGCTGTTTGCAGCAGGATTACAGCTGGGCAGTGACCAGATGTAGGACCAGCAATGAAGGCCAGTTTTGGGAGGAGTTTTGGCTGTGGAGGTCAATTGTAGGTTTAGAGTTTCTCCGGTAATTAAGACCGTATTGAGTTTGAAAATTAAAGAGAATTTTCTTTTCTCTTTATAGTTTTGATACCATGTGGAAGAATAGAATGTAATATTTATTATTGAATAATTTAGCCTTGCAATACACAACCTTAGGTGTAAGAAAAAGAAATCTTAAAATACAAAGACATATTTTTACTTATATCCTCCAACAAAATCATTGCAAATGTACCCTTTCCAAAAGTTAACAGTATTGGTCTATAGCAGTATAGTAAATTAACATACTCTACTAGTCTGTACCGGTTGTACAGTATTATATTTACTACTTTGGTCCATATTCCTTCTAAGTTTGCTAGTAATATCTTGGTTGCCTGATCTTGCACTTATATTCGTTCCAACAGTGTCTCATTCCTATGATTATCTTTTGAGGAGATGATTTTCTTTGCTTTCAGCCCTTAGAATACCAGAACGGACCCTGTTACCCTGTTACCAAGCTAACTTAGCAAAAGCATAAATTAAACTTGCTTAATATGGTTCAAGCCTATAAGGGTATTTCTCTATCGTCCAAAGCTAGATGTATGACCTAAAATCCACAAGATTCCTTGAATTCACAAAGAAGAGTAAGGAATTAGACAGGAGTTCCATGAACTTTTCGAGGAAATAAAGGTGTATGTCTTACGACTTAAAGACACAACATATTCAGTGTTCCTAATTCCCATCCTAAAAGGAAAAGCATTATTTAAAAAATAAAAAGGGAAACTAGAGGAAAAAGGAAACTATACTTGTTAAGTATTACTGCTAATTAGAAGAATAAATCATTAGCAAAATAGGAACCAATTACAAAAAACACATAATAATTAAATAGAGAAATTAAAAAAAAAAAAATTGGTTTGTTATGTACATGAAAATACTTTTTGAATTTCATTTTTTAACTTAAATATTTCTTATTGATAAAAATATATGAATTAATTAACAACAAAGAAATGAGTTTGAAAATTTTAAAATGCCTTTATAGTGTTCTTTTAGAAAACTACTTTAATCGTGTTCAATTGTTTTATGAATACACACATCTTATATGGTTTCATGAATGATATCAACTGTCAACTGTCAACTGTGGATGAGCATCATGAGCCAAAGCATGAAGAGAAGTACCTTTTGAAAATAGAAAAATTCTGAAACAAAGGCACGTGCAAATACGAATCATTGGTAACAACTGGAGCATGCTCAATCTCCTTTTTTGCATAAGCAAGAGCATCATCAGGTGGAAAAGACCAAATGTATTTCTGGTTATAGGTGACACAATGTTAAGAATGTCAATAGCTTCTTACTTTATGGGAAAACAAAAAATACAATGTTACAGTAATGTTGAGTTTACAAACCAAATTGTGAACACTTCATTTTTTACTTGTCAGATGTTAACATTTAGTTGATGTAAGTTTCTCAAAGTTATAATCAAAATGTTAGTTGGTAGTTCGAGCTTATATGATATTAGTTGCTAGTTCGAGCTTATGATAATAACAGCAATAACAACATACATATTATCAATTTGATTACTTTACCTCAAAACGAGTTGGTAGATGTGAAGGAGGAGAAGGGGGTTCTATGACCTTCAAGTCATTGTTTATCTTTCTTTTCTTCCTTCTTCTCCTAGGCACAGAACTTTTAAGTTCAGAAACTCTGCCTCTTTCTTCCTTGACTGGCATAGCTTGTGTCAATCCAGTAGATGAATTAATTGGTGAAACATGAGTGGGAGTAGTTTGCATTACTTGAAATTCTCCAAGCCTGGCCTCAGTGACAATCTTAGTCGTGTGTAAAGAACCATTCAAGAAAGAATGAGATGATAGCATCAATGTTTCAGATGGAGATATGAACAATGTGTTCAATGGATAAGAAGGAAGTGAAGGGGTTTGAAGCATAACACCAGCTGTTGTCAAGATAGCCCCAGCAAGGAACAAGTTTCTCCAATTAATTTTGCACCTTCGGCAACACCACAACTCTTCTTTCATCAGGAGAACCTCAACCAAGTGCTGCAATGAATACTTCATGGCTTAGTAACCAGCTGGATGATTTCAACCTCACCGATCAAGTAAACATTTACATGAAAAAAGAAAGGGCTGTAAAGATCATATGAATATTGTGTTGATCACCTTCATGTAGCTTGTTTGGTTCTCTTGAATAACACATGAAGAATTTATAATCAGAATTGTTTATCTTATTTGATTAGAGCGTATTTTACATCCCACTACAAAATTAATTATATCGTGTTATAGCACAAAATTATTAGATCCAATCAAACATGTTGATATAGTTCATATTATTGTTAATTGACAAAACTAAATTGTCTATGATAGCCCAAAAATCCTGAGGAAAACATTGCTAACAAGAATCAACATCCATTAATAAGATCAGACAAATTAGTTGTTAGTATCAGCAATAAATGAGATTAGAAAGTAGGATCAAAGGAGCAAATGTTGTGAGGTAAATAGAGTACATAGTGCAGGACTGCAATTAGGTTGATTTTAGGAGTACTTGTTTTCATCCTCTGCTTCTCTTCTAAGTTCAAGCTTAATTTTGAGATTGCAATCCGTGCCTCGTGTGAAGAGTATTTTGACTCCTTTCATCTTGATCTTAGTTTACTTCACTGTTACTGTCAGTTTTTCAGATTCAAGGATACTAAGATGTGATAGGATATATTTGGAACAAGTTCAAAATTTATGTGAAATAAATTTATAAATCTACACTAAGGTTAACTAAAAGATATCTACCTTCTCTATTGCTGTTGTCATTAATTCAGAGTGAAGTTAGCAGGCATAACAATGTATCATACCCCATTGCTCATTTCGGTTGAGAAATTCATCACACTCAATGAATTTGTCAATGTTCTCCACGGGATTTCAATATATGCGTGAGAATTTTAAGGCAACCATTTGTAATGGAATTTGAACTGAGCACTTTCAATTTCCTAACGTCTTAGGTTAGAAGTTGTCTGATGTTAAACTGTTAACCCATGAGCTGGACTTTATATGAACTTCCCGCCATGGAAGCATGAAGCATGCATCAGTAAATATTTGCATGTGTGTGTGTATGTGTGTATTTCAACTAATTAATGCCATGAACAGAAGATCATCATCTTACAGCCGAATCAGAGAGACAAAGATTGAAATTTGTGTCTGAATCTCAGTAATTAATGCAACTGTGTAAGGCATTTAACTCTAGGGATAAAACAGAAAGAAATTGAAAATAAATAAGAAGATTAAAATACCTTAATTCTTAGATAAAGAGAGGATTGAAGGGATGAATCTGGGATAGGTAGAGAGGAGAAGCCAAGTGAAAATGAACGATCAAGAATTGTAAGAAAAATGGAAGAGAGATGCTGTTTAAGGGAGGAAGAGAAAAAACGAAGCGAAACAGAAGGAAACGGGTCTTATGACTTGTGTTAACTGCCACTGCTTTGAATTATTATTTTTTAATAGACTTCAAATATATTATTGAGTGACAATAAATTATAGTTTTTTTATTATGGAAGAATATTATTTACAAAACAAGAGTACTTCCTTAATTTAATATAAAATTTTAATTGGATGTTATATTTAGGACTAAATATTATTTTAATATTTTTTATTTAATTTAATCTTCATAAATTTTTTTTTAATCTCTTATTGTTTGTTTTTATTTTCAAAAATTTTGTATTAGTTTATATCTACTAATATAATTTTCACTTGTGATAGATTTGACACTTGATATTATTTGATTGAATATTTTTTATTTAAAGCACTAAATAACATCTAATTTTTAAAAAATAATTATAATATTTTAATAAAAAAAATTTAAATGTAGAAATTAAAAAAATACAAAAATAACAATAATCGGTGACACCTATTTTCTCATACTCTCTCCTTCTTCCTCTTCCACAATGGCTAATTTTTCTTAAAAGTATCCATTCTTTAGTCTCCTCCCTCTTCTTCCTCTTCCTCCCCTTCCCTTTTTCTACTCACACAGAGGCCAATAACCTTTTCCTTGGTCCCATGGCATTATATTTAAGAAATTAATTAACTAATTGATGTGGTTTTATCAATTATTTAAGTATTTTTTTAAAAAAAATGAAAATTTATGTTAAATAAAAATCTCAGGCGTATTGCCTTGATTACTCTTTTAACTTATTATGATGTTCACACCATATTCTTCACTTTTAAAAAGGTCTTGCACTTTACCATTTTTAAAGATTGTCAAATCCAAGAATCTCAGGGTGTTACTTTCAGCTTTTTTGTTCTCAATTACATAGGTTTTTTTTTACATCATCATTTATCTTTTTCTTTTTTCTTTTGTGAATATTGAAAATTTCAGTTTTTATGAAAAATATGATAGACTCATTGACTTACTATGAACTCGCTAATCATTCAAGGCTAAGTTAATGATTATGTTTGAGATAGTCCAGAACTAGGAGAAAAATAAATTCATAAATTTAATGCGGAAGCATATAATAACGTTATAGTTTACATTCTTTACACATAAATTTAAATGCATAATAGGATAACGAAAATGTTCCTTTCATAACGATGCATAAAAAAAATGAAATAAACATGTGAAAATAGTAAATAAATATTGTGGGAGGTTAACTTCCACTAGCTCTTGATGGGATCCGAGGGACATCTACTCACAGCCCTCCTACTGATCAGGATCTTAATCTTGATCTTCTTAATCTGAAATGGTTAATAGGGGTAAGTTACACTAACACAATAAGAATATCACACTACTCACCGATACGAAAACTGAAAGTTGGTAAAAAAAATATAAAACAACTAATGCAGCTCTTAATTTAAGTAAGTTCATTTATCACAAGGAAAACTATTTGTTGCATATTTACCGTTATGAGATTTCTAAAATCAACTTATAAAGACAACAACTCATTTACATTATGATCTCTTATATAAGTGAGCAAGAATATCAATTTTTTTTTTATTTGCTTATTGATACCTCTAGGGGTCTATAGGGATGTTCTCCTACGTGTGAACCTAATATCAAACTTGTCGATTATCCTGCCGTCCCCATACCCCATTCGGTATGAGTGCCAAAATGTCATCCCTCGATACCCCGTTCGATATGAGGGTGAACCGAGCCGTCTTCATACCTTGTCTGGTATGAATGCTAAAAATATCATCCTTCGATACCCTATCTGGTATGAGGTGATGTTCACGGTAGGGTTCTCTATGTACCCGTTCTGTCCACCATATCTCAGGATATCCAGTAAGATAACCATTTATTAATTCACATCATCAAGCAATTTTCCATCTATATATTAATTTTACGTTTCACAATCAACCGTAATCATGTAAAACAAGCGATATATGTATCAATGAAATACAACTGAATCATTTAACTATTTCAATATATTATCATGTATTTAAAGTTGTATAAGTAAATAATAAGTTAAACATGACAAATAAATAACTAACGGTTCTAGCTCCATTAGTGACATGTAATTATTCCCAAAGTTTTTTAGATTTCACAAAATACCATATTATTAATTTTTAGCCTTCAATTCCAAATAGAAAATAAGGTGAGAGATTCTTACACAAATCGGTATCTGAAACACTGTACTTTTTTACAGCGCCTTCTGACGGTCCCTAAATTTCTTGAATTTTTCTGTAGAGATTAAACACGCTCCACGTATCTAAAAAATACCCCAAAATCTAAAATCAGTGTTAAAAATCCCTTCAAGCTAATTTCAAAATTCCGGCACAGCGATGGTTTACCTCGGCCTGGATGTTTTCGGCCGGTTTAGGCTAGTTTTTGCTGACCTTACACATATCCCTGCAAAAAAATACATTAGGAAGCTTCGGTTAGCAAAAAAAAAATCAAAAAACTGAAACTTACCGGTAGTGGGGTTTCCGGATACAGCAGCTCCGCCGGCTCTCCTTCGCGACTGGGATTCCTCATTTAGTCAACCTGCAGAAAACAGAATAGTGAAAAAAATCACACGAAACGGGAATTGATAAGGGGCTCATCGGAGGATGTTGTGGGTTTTGGGCTGCCACGACCCCGTCAGGCTTTGTCCGTGGTTTCAGCTAACCCACTATTTATTTTGCTTTGATATGGTCACAGGGGTGCTCGGAATCGAATTCCGAGCGGGTATGAGAATTTTTACCTTTTTTATTGTTCAGGAGTGGCTATGGTGCAGCAACAGTCAGCGGTCGGCTTCCTTCTTCAGTGTCTGGTTCTTCTTTTCGGGCGAGGGGAGCTGGCAGCTAGGGTTCGGGTTCTGTGTGATGCGAAATATTTATACCTATTCCGCGTTAATCTGGACTGTCCAACATGATCGATCTCATCCGTCCAATTGTGCCTAAAGGGGAAACGAATCCGGACTGTTCATTGCATTTAATCTCGACCGTTCGATCGCGCCTAAAGAGAAAATAAATCTGAACCATTCATCACATTTGATCTCGACCGTTCGATCGCGCCCAAGGGAGAAGCGGATCCGAACCGTCCACGCGCGCGGGATAGATCCTAGGCCGTCTGATCGTAGGGCACGCGAATCACCAGCGTTGCCTCCCGCGTGGCGCCAACGTTAGTACGCTTGGCCACGCTGTGCACTTTAGTTCGTTGAGGCTGCTGACTGGGTGGTCCTACATAACCGAACTTTTTCTAATTGCACTTTGACTTGCTGTTTTTAATTTTTTTTAAAAAAACACCCCTCAAACTCAAATTTTCACCCATTCTTCCTAAACTTATTTTTAATTTCGTCGCTAATTCATTTTTTCTCAAAAATTCAATCAAATTAAAATAAAATAATTTTTTTTAATTATTATATATATATATATATTTATAATCCGTAAACATCATCCCGGACTAATTTTCAGGCCTGAGTGTTACAACTCTCCCCCCTTAAAAAAAATTTGTTCCCTCAAATTTGTTGTCTTTTTGTTAATCAAATAGCCTCTTCCTGCGTATGATTCTACCGTAGGACCCTGATGAATGAAATTTTTTAGTTGTGGAGTACTCTACTCTTTCAGTCTATAATGCCCACGGTACCTCCTCATAGGATAGATCCTCATGGAGTGAAAGGGGCTTGTGAGACAGGATGTATGAGGAATTTGGGTTATACTTGCGTAGCATAGATACATAAAACACATTATGAACCCTGGATAGCTCTGGAGGTAGTGCCAGTCTGTTGGCTCGTACCGATCTAGTCTAAGATCTCAAATGATCTAATGAATCGATGATTTAATTTTTTCCTCTTGTCAAACCTACTGATCCTTTTGAAGGGAGTGACCTTAAGAAACACTCTATCACCTTTCTCAAATTCTAAATCCCTCCTCTGGGAGTCTGCATAACTTTTCTGCATGCTCTGAGCTGTCTGGATATTCTTCCTAATTTTAACTATCTTGATTGTAGTCTCCTCTACAAGATTTGATCTGAATAATTTTCTATCATTCACCTCTTCTCAATAGAACAATGATCTGTATGGTCGGCCATATAATGCCTCATACGGAGTCATACCGATACTTGCCCGGTAACTGTTATTGTAGGCGAACTCTATCAGAGATAGGTGATCATTCCAATGGCCCCCGAAGTCTAAAACACAAGCTCGAACATATCCTCCTATGTGTGGATTGTCCTTTTTGATTGTCCATCGGCTTGAGGGTGGAATGCAGTACTAAGAGACAGTTTCATTCCCATGGCTTGCTGAAAACTAAACCAGAACCGAGAAGTGAACATGGGGTCCCTGTCAGATATTATTGTTACTGGCACTCCATGTAACCTGACTATCTCCCGGATATACATTCTTACTAACTTGTGCAAGGGATCGATCATCTTGATGGCCAAGAAATGAGAATACTTGGTGAGTCGGTCAACAATTACCCAAATAGTATCATGTCCCGAGCGTGTTCTAGGCAATCCTGTCACGAAATACATTGTGATATGTTACTACTTCAACTCCAGAATCGATAATGGCTTAAGTAGTCTGCCTGAGCGTTGATGCTTTGTTTTAACCTACTGACATACTAAACACTTGGTAACAAAGTCGGCTACCTCCTTTTTCATCCCGCTCTACCAAAACTAGGGTCGCATACTTTGATATATTTTAGTACTTTCAGGATGTATGGCGAACTTGGAGCTATGAGCCTCTGTCATGATGTCTCTTTTTAATTTATTGTCATTTAAAAAGTATACCCTATCCTAAAACCTAAGCAATCCATCAGTAGAGACTCGAAATTCTGGACGTACTCCTTATTCTGCATCTTTCTTGAGGGCGACTATGGTGGAATCGGTTAATTGTGCTTCTCTTATTCTCTGGATCAATTCGAGTTGGGCAGTCAGGTGGGCCAAGCATGCAACTCTCTTTAAGTCCTGAAGTCGTATCCGTTGTGCGACCCTTATTACCCTGCATTCAGAAATCATTAGGTGAGCTAACATACCTGCATTTTTTATACT